CTGTAAGTTGTTTACAATTTGGTATTCCTTCTTTTTTTGCGGATATTCAAGCGCAGTGGTTGTGTCGATGGACTGTCAATCCAGATACTGGGGTTCAAATCCCACCTCAGACACTTTTTCACTCTCAAAACGGCCATTTATGTGTAGTGAGCAACTGTCACCTGTAGAGGGCAGTATTGTGTTGGGCATCAGTGGAGAGAAGAGAGAAAAGGCAGTCCTGTGGCATAGATCCATGGTTTTCAATGCATGGGCGTTACCCGCTGTGACGTCACACACACACTGAAAAAAATAAAACATTGGTTTAATCTGAAAATTATATAGAAATCATTTACATCCAAATTTTACTAGTTGTTCATAAGGATATATATCCATTAATCAAACTGTAAATGTTTCATCTGTAACCTTTAATATTTTAAATTGGTTCAACAAGAAAATGTTTATGACTTTAACATTCAAAAGCTCATTGAGTCAATTTAAAAGTCTTCATTAGCAGATATGGGCCTATTTAAAAACTTTCATTAAACCAATGTACTTTTAATAAAAGGCTTAATTTAAATTTAGTAAGTTCACTCAACACATTTTGATTAATTGAATCAAATATTTTATTAAAAGGGACAGAACGTACAAATGCAACTTCCATTAATTCGTTACATTTTTTTTATCCAGGTAGCAGGAGGCAACATTTTGTTTTTTTAATGACCAAAATAGTACTTTTAATGCCATTATTGCATGAAAAATCTGTTTTAGCAGAACTGAAATCAGCCAAGGAATGTGACAAAAAAAAAAAAAGGTTTTGAATGTTTTGGTTACAACAAGTAACTTTTGCAGAAACAAAGTGAACAATCTGTTAAACTGTTGTTGAATGCATAACAATATTTCTATGCATTTACAATACATGCACATAGTAAAAGGCAATGAGAGAACAATAAAACCTCATAAAACTGTACTGCCAAGAGTATATGCATACTACTCACAGTGTAGCAAAACACTCAGCCTATGAACTTTGGTGTTCATTTTCTTGTTATCCAGTCCCATGAGTACCTTTTGAACAAACTCAAATGTGCGTTCACATTTCTTTGGGTACTTCATGTTGAGGGCGTAGATGAGGCCGAAAAGCATTGCAAAGCCTTGGACCATTGAATGCAGATCTGTCATGACTTCTTCACCTTCCAGTACAACCTTCACATCGGTGGGTGTTACGACGACTGCCATGGTCTCTTCCTCTACACTGAAATCTTGCTGGATCTGCAAAACATGAGTGGAATAATACATAATAGAATTAACAAATAATGCAAAGATTTTTATGGTCAGTCTAAACCAGGTTAACCAGTCTGAATGAGTCTCTAGTACTTCAGACGTTATAATTATGCTTTTGAAAATAACATTTGAGAAAATGGACAATACATGCATTTAATGCAGCGAAGATTCTTGAAAAACAGATGTATGCTCTAAAATATATTGAAGCAATACCAAAGTATTTATCTTACAATATTTTAAAAGTTGTTCACCTTGTTTCATGACAAAATACGATTTCCCCATTTTGTAAAAACAACAAACAAATCAAAAGCGTGCAGAAAAGAAAAAAAGCAACAAACACCAACAAAAGAATCAAAAAGCAAGAACATAAAGCAAAGAAGAAAGGAACAAAAAGACAACACCATGACAGAAATGCGACAATAAACGTGGCAACAACGCAACAAAAAAAAGTCACTATCATTGTTGTAGGTCCTAGCTTTTGAATAAGGCATTACTCTGGCTTATAGGCTGTAAATAAGCTTTTAGATTTAGGTAAAGCTGATCTGGAGAAAATGTGCTCGGTTAAGGCAGGAGGTAAGAGTTTTATATATCCATCTATCACACACAGTCCCATTACTAACTAACTATATATACATTTTCGGTTTAACAAACCCTCAAAAATATGTTCAGCTTTAAATTCTGTTCATTTTATAATAATTTTACAATAGCCTTTTTTAAATGCTTTATATAATATGATTGGCTCTAAATGTGGGGATTTGACTAGATTCTACGGTACCTATAACTCTTCCTCTACCGTTATTTATGGGGGAATAGCAGTTCTCGTCCAAATCAATTAATAGTTCAAGAAAACATGATTGACAATGAGTTACTGATGAACAGTCCAAGACACATTAAAAATGTTACATTGGATGTAAATACTTAAGAAGAAACGTCTGTTCATCAAGGAGGAACTTTTTATCTCCAAGGTAAAAGCTATCATCAATGCCGCACACAAATTTAAAAATATTTACACTAAAGACAGGCCAATAACTTTTTTAAAGCATGTTCATTAAAAAAAGTTTGTGTATGCGTCATCAACTTGAAGACAAAAATGCCTACTGCGAAGGAACACTGAAGTATTATTTAGTGAAGACTTTACATCCAGTACAAAAGTTGTGCCCGTCTTGTGACTGTCCATCAGTAACTCATTGTCCACCATATAATTCAGAGCTTGTGTTATGACAGACTGTTGGGCCACATTTACAAATGCGCCTCACGTAGGCTAAAGTCCTGTAAAGTCAGGATTTTTGGAAGAAAATTCTGACTTTAGGTTTTTTTATGACTGTCCAATGCATCAATACTAGTGTCATCTTGATTGCTGATTCAATTACCATCCAATTTATGTATATCTGCTGTTAGGCAGGTACGTTCTGTAAGCTGTGTAGAATTGACATCTGTTAATACCATTAGAGGCCAACTTGACAAATTTCAAATCCAGGCCATTGAGTGCAGTAGAATTTTTTTAAATTGTGCTTCTAAATTTTTTCATACATTTTTGAGATACGAGTAAAAAAAAACAAAAACAAAAAAAAGTTGATTTCCGGCCTTGCCACCATACCTGATGTTCTTTAATGACTGCATCCACAGGATCTCCAAGGAATAGCATCACTAACTTCAGTATGTATTGCCTTCGTGTACCTGCGTCCAATGTACCGCTCATGGAAGCCTGTAGAAAAAAAAAGGATGAAATGTATACTGTATAAAACTAAGTACGTACCTTTTTATTGGATTGATAAAGACACTGAAGTACCTTTAAGTAATATTAAAGTATTTTTTTGGTTAAACTTACTTAAAATTAAATAGTAGTTTAAAATTTTATTTGGATTGTTTCACGATTTCTTTTTCTTCATCATAACCAATTATATTTATAAAATTTGGCAAGTATCACAGCTTTAAACTCCTCTCTAAGGCAGCAAAGAGTCAGTTCTATTTTGAGGAATTTTAGCCCTTTAACCCCTTAACACCCACCTGAACTATGAACATTTTCTCCAGTTTGGCTCAGCTCAAATCTAAAAACTTCCGGAAAAAACGTCAAAATGGCAACAAATCGAGAAGAAAATGATGAAAACGCAACAAAAATGTGATGAAAAAGACTAAAATGTGACGAAAAAGAGACAAAATGTGACAAAAATGAAACAGGAAAGCCACAAAAGAGCAACCAAAAAAATTACCAATACAGCAACAACGCAAGGAAAAAAGATCCATTTACATCAGTTTTGTAGGTCTTAGCCTTTGACGTTTGAGTAAATCTTCTCATAAGAAAACGTAATCGGTGTTCAAAATAAAACCCTCGATCTAATACTCATATATATAGTATATATGACGTTGATACACAGATAAATGTATTACAGTAATCCCCAGTAAGGCAGACTTGTACCAAAAACATAGCCTATTACAATAAAACATCTCCAATAGCCTATTTTACGTGCATCTGTGCATACAAAAAAACATTTATTCATTCTACAAGTCTAAATGTACCTTTTAATTACCTTTTACCGCTGAAAAGTGGCACAGTCGTGGGTATGGCCAGGTTCGAAGTCTTGGTCACGTTTGTTGAACGTGGGGGTGGAAGCCTCTGGAGCACATGGTGTGTCATCTTCTGCAGCGTGGTATGGCAGAGTCCAGCGCTGTTATTTTCAGTGCTGCCCCCTGTGTTGGAGGGCTGACTTGGTACAGCGCATGCGCTAGATGAGCTCGACGAAGAATTGTTCGTTTGATCAATTAACTTTTATAAATTATTACCGATTTGAAATGGACAACTAAATGAACAAACATTTCTTTATCAACACGCAATGTTCAATCTGTATGGTTTTAATTGTAAAGACCAATTTGATTGTCTTTATTTAAAACAATGGCAAAGAACATATTGAATGAACAACAGCACTGTTTTACTTTTTTCAGTGCAGGTTAGAGCATAGACAACTTAAATTCATGAAAAACACGTTCTTTTTTATAAAATATAGGATTTTTTTTTGCCGGAATCTTTTTCAGATCGACATTGTCATGCAATTTTGATATCCACATTTTTTTTTTTTTTAAACCCGGCATAAGGTCTTTAAAGGCCCAATGTTAACTGCTCACACAGTAAACAGTGAGTTGCTATGGTAACTACTACTGGCTATTTGCTAGGAGCTAATGCTAGAATTGATCTAAAATAAAAGACAATTAAACAACATGTGTATACTGTATATACAGTAGATACAGAAAAGCCACAATGTTATGAAGACTAAACAAGTACATACCCAGCCCAACACTTGAGACCTGAGCCTTTGCCATCTCCCATATATACAGAGGAGAGGCCTTGAAAAAAAAAAAAAAACACTAATCCAAATACAGACTCGTACTTTGACTGGCTTGTAATCCATTTAAAGTTAGATCCAAGTGAGCTGGCATGTGACACTCCTTACCTAAACCCCATCAATCCCCCGTAAATCCACGGGCATATCTGCTAATGCCGGACATGTATGCTAACACAACGCTAATCCACCGACAGATACACAAGCTGCGGTACTGTGCCGAGTCCCGGAGCCGACTTACACCGGTCCAAATCCACAAACGGGCCAATAAGCTGCTCTCTCAAGGTGGTCAGGCTTATCTTTAATTCAGCAGGGGAGCGGCAGTGCTTTCCTTCTTGATTGCCTAAACCACATGTACCTTTGACGCTGCATCCTAATAAGTGTCCGTGGAGACGAGGAGGAGGTCGGATGTTGGCTGATGGAGGTGCCTAGCTTCTTATCTCAGAGTGTTAGCTCTATCGTGTTAGCTCTAGCACCGCGGCTCTATCGCTGGCTCGTCTGGGATCTGCTCGCCTCAGGGCTCAAAGACAATTTGTAGTTTTTTTGCGAGGTGATGTGTTTGCTAAATAAAAACGATGTTGCTCGGCTGTCGGTAGCTTCTGCTGTTACATGGTTTTTGAAAAGAGACGAGAGGTGAATTGGGACTCTGAGGAGCACAGGGACTGGCCTCCTGCTGGGACTCTGAGGAGCACAGGGACTGGCCTCCTGCTGGGACTCTGAGGAGCACAGGGACTGGCCTCCTGCTGGGACTCTGAGGAGCACAGGGACTGGCCTCCTGCTGGGACTCTGCTTTGTTTTCCTGTATGTCTCCTATTTTATATTAGTATGACTGTTTGATTGACTGATTTTATTTTGGCTCTGTGAACACTCTCTATACAAGTGCCATGCAAATAAATACGAATAACATATGATAAGATAAACTTTATTGATCTCACAATAGAGAAATGTACATGTCACATTTGGCATTGACAGAATCACTCAGATTGTGCAAAGGACAGAAGTGTGCAACATGTTAAGGTTAAAAATGTAGTCTGTGCAGGATATAATCATGTAAAGTAAAAAGTGGCATTAGCAGCAGGTTCTGTCAGTCCGAGTCAGTGTTCAGGATTATCACGATGAAGCAGGACACTCGACATTCAACAACATTCATGGACTTTCTGAATCTGTCTCTTATGGACCTATGGCTCTGTGTTTTTATCACTGCATTTCTTAATAATAATAATAATAATAATAATAATACTAATAATAATAATAATAATAATAATAATAATAATAATAATACTACTACTACTACTAATAATAATAATAATAATAATAATAATAATAATAATAATAATAATAATAATAATAATAATGCATAGGTTTTATATATGGGGCGACAGTGGCTCAGTTGGTAGAGCATTGGCCTTTGAGCCTAAAGGTCATGGGTTCGAGCCCACCACGAGACCTACTTCCCGACTCATGATCACTGTTGTCGTTGTGTCCTTGGGCAAGACACTTAACCCCACTTTGCCTGAAGCCCGCGCTGAAAGATCAAGGCTCCTGTGGACTCACCACCTGCAGGAGGATCAGTGAGGGGCTGGTGCTGAGTGTACCGGGTGCAGCTCTGACTGCCACCCCCCCGACCCAGAAATGGATTAAGGGGAAGAAAATGGATGGATGGAGGTTTTATATTGCGCTTTTTTGGACACTCAAAGAGGCTTTACATGTCATTATTCATTCACGGTGGTGATAAAATACTTCTGTAGCCACAGCTGCCATGGGGCACACTGACAGAAGCGAGGCCACCACCAACCATTCACACACAAACCAGATTAATTCTAGGCAATGTGGGTGAAGTGTCTTGCCTAAGGACACAGCGTCGTATGTGTTTTCATAACAGGCCTTTGAACAACTAAATGAGTAACAGATATTTCAGTAACATTTAAGATCACCTTTTTATAGTGCCATACATTTCCTTCCACAAAATTAGCTCCGTATATTTCCCGTGGCTGTGCTGGTGTCTTGGCAGGGTCTCGCTTTGATGTCAAACTCGTCATATTAGTTCCACCGCGGGACTTGAGCCATTTCCAGAATATTCCTGATAAATGTGGTTTTTTTTTTTCATTCAGAGTGTGCCGTTTGTGTCACGTCGCATTACATTTATTTTGTCGGCGTCGTTCGCTGATGTCTTTATTACTGCTGCAACTCATGCGAAGTGTGGAGGCCATGATTCTGTGGATGTCGTCTCTGAGGTGTAAAAAAAAAAACCATTAGAATGATAAATATGGAAATGCAAACTGTAAAAGGATGGGCTTTGTCAAGAGCGAGACTTGTGAGAAAATTATGAACCCAAGTGGTGAATATGGAAGAATGCGAAATAGTATGTAGTGTAGTCGTTCGCAAAGACACAGATGGGGATCCAGCGATGGGAAGCGACAGCCATTGCCAGAAATGTAGCAAATTTATGTCAAAAATGGATTGAAACCTGGTGCGTGGTGTGATTCCTAAACAGACACAAACCCACAAAGTGCCATGTCATTCTACACAATACATTTATTATAATATGCATTTACAAACTAGCATCAGACCATTTTAAAGGAGCAGTATGTACAAATGTGGCCAAAAGTGGTACTGCAGCCTCTCCCACTCTCCCTGACTCAGGTTGCCAGATATGCAGACGAATCCAGCTGGGACCATAACAGCTGAATAGACAAGAGTTTTGTCAACAACAAATCTATAACCAACACCTTTTTCACAAAGATAGAAATCCTGGTTTTATTCCTTGTTTTGTCGTTAATGATTTGAGAATCATAACGAGACCTTTTTTAGTTCTGCGCCACATGGTACTTTACCAGTGAGATTAGCTCCACACGGTGAGTTCGGGCGCCCGGATCACGGACTTTCTGATTGGTGAAACGGTGGAGGGCGGGACATCAAAATGAAAACAATAACAAGATTTAGAGACTATAAAACTAATTTTAAAATTCAAATATCTCTGAACTACTGTTATCAGTTAAAGAAGTATTGGAAAAGAACAGTTTGTTATTATGACAGATTAGGGCCCTTTAATGAAGACAAGATAACAAGAGCTTTTTTAGTTCTGCGCCACATGGTACTTTACCAGTGAGATTAGCTCCACATGGTGAATTCTGACCCTAACCCGCCGGATCACAGACTTTCTTATGGGTGAAACAGTGGCGGGCAGGACATTGAAACTAAAACAATAAAAAGAATTTTGAGGCTGTAAAACTATTTTTGAAATTCAAATATCAGTTAAAGAAGTGGTTTTTGATACTCGCTGATACTCTTATTCCCTCGAGCAAAAATGACAGTATGAGATGGGTGGATACTCTACAAACTACCAAGTGAGAAAAGGGCAGAAGAAAGTTTGAAAAACACAGGGAAAGGGACTAGGATGGCGTAGTCAGAGGACTGGGGGGAGAGAAATGGTGGCTCACCCATGAGATCAGATGTACTTTATCATCTCACAGTGGAGACATTCAGTTTGATGAATAAACATCAAGGCTGGCTGCATACTATACTTCTGCGCTCCTTATGACATATCGCACAGAAACAGCTTTGCGTGTGTTAATCAGGACTTCCAAACTTATTTACCCTGTGTTTAGTTAATTGCTTTTGTTTATCTCGTGAAGGAAAGTTTAATTTTTAGATTTTATTCTGGACAAAATGAGTTCATCTTTGACTGAAGCAAAACTGGACCAAAAGAAAGAAAGGTTTGTTTTTACACACTGATAGACACCTGAGTGAGTTCAATGCTGAGAATATAATTGGTGTTGTTTTCTTCAGAGGGATAGCTTTGAAAGGATGTACAACATGCCTTAGGAGCCCGTAATAGCCTCTCATAATCAATGTTCGCAAGTTTGAATAATAATTTCATGTAGAAACTGATAACAAACCCACATTCCGAAGGCATTGGAGTGCAAATAACACGGCAAAAAGCTGAAAATAGTCAGTGTTTGGGTTGAGTCTCCTTTAAGGATAATTCAGGCGAGAATAAGATTGCATCTACATCTAGGGACAAACTTTTGGGTCGGACATTGTTTAATTGTTCTGTTTTGAGTTTTGAGGTCAATGTTGGGCTTGTAGATGTGAGAACGTTCTACTTCCTGAAACGCTTATCAAGTACGTGCGTCACACAATGGGGCAAAGTAGCCTGATAACGGCTTCAGTGCTCCAGACAAGCCCACGTCCTCAGCTGTCTTCTGGCGGATGAAAAGGCGGATGAAAAGGCCAGAGCCTCCAAAAGGAGGCAGAGCGAGACAGAGCGAGACAGACGGAGGCAGAGCGAGACAGAGCGAGACAGACGGAGGCAGAGCGAGACAGAGCGAGACAGACGGAGGCAGACGGAGGCAGAGCGAGACAGACGGAGGCAGACGGAGGCAGACGGAGGCAGACGGAGGCAGAGCGAGACAGACGGAGGCAGACGGAGGCAGAGCGAGACAGAGCGAGACAGACGGAGGCAGACGGAGGCAGACGGAGGCAGAGCGAGACAGACGGAGGCAGACGGAGGCAGAGCGAGACAGAGCGAGACAGACGGAGGCAGACGGAGGCAGACGGAGGCAGAGCGAGACAGAGCAAGGCAGAGCGAGGCAGAGCGAGGCAGAGCGAGACAGACGGAGGTAGACGGAGGCAGAGCGAGACAGACGGAGGCAGACGGAGGCAGAGCGAGACAGACGGAGGCAGACGGAGACAGAGCGAGACAGACGGAGGCAGACGGAAGCAGACGGAGGCAGACGGAGGCAGAGCGAGACAGACGGAGGCAGACGGAGGCAGACTGAGGCAGACGGAGGCAGAGCGAGACAGACGGAGGCAGACGGAAGCAGACGGAGGCAGACGGAGGCAGAGCGAGGCAGACGGAGGCAGACGGAGACAGTGCGAGGCAGACGGAGGCAGAGCGAGACAGACGGAGGAAGAGCGAGACAGACGGAGGCAGACGGAGGCAGAGCGAGACAGACGGAGGCAGACGGAGATAGACGGAGGCAGACGGAGACAGACGGAGGCAGACGGAGACAGACGGAGGAAGACGGAGACAGACGGAGGCAGACGGAGACAGAGCGAGACAGACGGAGGCAGAGCGAGACAGACGGAGGCAGACGGAGACAGAGCGAGACAGACGGAGGCAGAGCGAGACAGACGGAGGCAGACGGAGACAGACGGAGGCAGACGGAGACAGACGGAGGCAGACGGAGACAGACGGAGGCAGACGGAGACAGAGCGAGACAGACGGAGGCAGACGGAGACAGACGGAGGCAGACGGAGACAGAGCGAGACAGACGGAGGCAGAGCGAGACAGACGGAGGCAGAGCGAGACAGACGGAGGCAGACGGAGGCAGACGGAGACAGACGGAGGCAGACGGAGACAGACGGAGACAGACGGAGGCAGACGGAGGCAGACGGAGGCAGAGCGAGACAGACGGAGGCAGACGGAGGCAGAGCGAGACAGAGCGAGACAGACGGAGGCAGACGGAGGCAGATGGAGGCAGACGGAGGCAGACGGAGGCAGAGCGAGACAAAGCAAGGCAGAGCGAGGCAGAGCGAGACAGACGGAGGCAGACGGAGGCAGAGCGAGACAGACGGAGGCAGACGGAGGCAGACGGAGGCAGACGGAGGCAGACGGAGGCAGAGCGAGACAGACGGAGGCAGACGGAGACAGAGCGAGACAGACGGAGGCAGACGGAGGCAGAGCGAGACAGACGGAGGCAGACGGAGGCAGACGGAGGCAGACGGAAGCAGACGGAGGCAGACGGAGGCAGACGGAGGCAGACGGAAGCAGACGGAGGCAGACGGAGGCAGAGCGAGGCAGACGGAGGCAGACGGAGACAGTGCGAGGCAGACGGAGGCAGAGAGAGACAGACGGAGGAAGAGCGAGACAGACGGAGGCAGACGGAGGCAGAGCGAGACAGACGGAGGCAGACGGAGACAGAGCGAGACAGACGGAGGCAGAGCGAGACAGTGCGAGGCAGACGGAGACAGAGCGAGGCAGACGGAGGCAGACGGAGGCAGACGGAGACAGACGGAGGCAGACGGAGACAGACGGAGGCAGACGGAGGCAGAGCGAGGCAGACGGAGGCAGACGGAGGCAGAGCGAGACAGACGGAGGCAGACGGAGGCAGACGGAGGCAGACGGAGGCAGACGGAGGCAGACGGAGGCAGACGGAGGCAGAGCGAGGCAGACGGAGGCAGATGGAGGCAGACGGAGGCAGACGGAGACACAGGATGCCGTGGGGAGCAGGACTTTGCCCAAATTCTTCTTGCTGCTGTTTCAAGGCCAAGTGCCGGAAAAAACAAATGGCAAGCGTTGTTCCACAGAAGGCTGAGCAATGTCCTGTACTTCCATTATTTTGGAGACATTTCTGACAATAAATGAAATATAGAACCACACGTTTTCTTTTGCAGATGTACAAATACAACTTTATATTTATTGCATTACCCATTATGCAAGTTTATGGTAAGACGTTGATTGATTGATAATTTATTGATCCCTGTCGGAGAAATTCAGGTATCCAGCAGAAATACATATATCATTCTAAAAGTTACTAACAATAGGTATACAATGCAAAAAAATCATAACATATGAGGTAAAAAATGCTTGAATAAAGTGGTTTTTATCTTAATTTCAGTAAAATCTGACATTCTGCCACTGGGCCAAAGCCATTTAGTGTTATCTCAAGAATAGTATCTTTATTTTCTCATTCAAAGCAAGACTTTTCTTGTATCTTTTTTGTATGGTTCCATTGGCAAATCTTGGTTAAAGCCACAGTCAGAATGTGCTCAAAATATACTTTTTTGCCAAATTTGAGCTTTTTTTTTTCTACATATTTCTCTTCACTTTTGGCAGTGCACTTTAGGTCTGCTTGGTTTGGACGATTTTCTCTGCTTTGGTTCTGAGTGAAATTCTGAATGGTTTTGAATAAGGCCATTTAGAATAAGGACTAATAAATGCCTGATAAATACCAATAAAAATCTAAAAACCATCAATTACAGACTAATAAGCACTTATCGCTGTTAATTAGTGAGGACGAATCTAAAGTGTATCAAGAATCTCATACTCATACAAACAGTATAAACGTGCATTTTCTTCCCGGTCGGAACAGGGCTTTTCTCAGTGGAGTTTGCATGTTCTCCCTGTGTCTGCGTAGGTTTCCTCCGGGTGCTCCGGTTTGCCCTACCACTAAAAACATGCACAATAGGTCTGAATGTAAATGAGAGAGTGAATGGATGGTGTTGGAGCTGATGGTCCAGTGTGTTCTGGACTCGCTTCTGTCGTCACCGTGTGTGGAAGGATCGGAACAATATCTGACTCTGTGACATTGGAAAGTGCTTTGGGTCTGTACCTTGGTCTGTAAAATGCGCTCCATAAATAAACATTACTTACTTCCTTATTTTTTTATTTTCATGGGAACCGCTCTGTACCTCCGGAATGACTCTCAAACCACATCGGCTCTAAACTGTTTGTCCCTTTTTCCAATTATAGCGTTCTTTTGGAGACTCATGTTTTTCATGATTGACCGTGATTTTGGCTGTTTTGTGGAAAGGCAAGAGCAGGATTTTCCAACTGCGTTACTGCGAGTGACTAATGGCGGTAATGGCGTAAAATGATGCCTTTTACGTACAGCCAAGAAAGCTTTTTTTACAGAGCGTCATTGAAAAGTCTTCATAATGACTTTGAACCCATCTCTGCTCTAAGCTAACATCATGCTATCTCCCTGGCTCTTCTTACAGGGGTTGCCTTACAAACCTCCACCGTGGAACAGACAAGGACAATGTGTTCAATGTTCTGTTTAATCATAATTTTGTGCTGTAAATATAATGCTGAATGGACAGTGCTTATCCCGCCCCCCATGGACCAATGGATTCTATGTAATTGTTATGATTGCATTTTCTGGTTTTGTTTGATTCTCCGATGGTGGCTGAGTGGATAGCACTATGCCTCTCAGCAAGAAAGTCCTGGGTTTCGTATCCCGGTCGGAACAGGGCCTTTCTGAGTGGTGTTTGCATGTTCTCCCTGTGTCTGCATAGGTTTCCTCCGGGTGCTCCGGTTTGCCCTACCACTAAAAACATGCACAATAGGTCTGAATGTAAATGAGAGAGTGAATGGATGGTGTTGGAGCTGATGGTCCAGTGTGTTCTGGACTCGCTTCTGTCATCACCGTGTGTGGAAGGATTGGAACAATATCTGACGCTGAACATTGTAAACAGCTTTGGGTCTGTACCTTGGTCTGTAAAATGCGTTATATATGAAAACTTTACTTACTTACTTACTTATTATTAATACCAAAACCGAACCGTTTGGGAGCGACGCACTAGCTACATGGATGAATTTGCATTGTTTTGTAATGACGTTTCAAGTTGTTCTGGACCCTTTACAAACCATTTGGCACAACCATAGAGCAGCTTTTGTCACACACACGGGGAGTGGGTTGGCCCTGACTAGTGACTCACATGGCTCTTCTACTACACTGAAGCGATGGTGAAAGATTTTCCATTTGAATGCCAATACGCAAATGACTAATTCTCAAACCGTGCGTTGCAAAAGAAAAAAAAATGGAACGTTCTCCCTCTTCACAAATGGTTGCATAGTAATAACAGAGAGGCCCGTCTGTTTGGACACACCGCGGCATCTTCTCTCGTTTACCAGACTCAGCTTTTCCCGGGACTGACCAGGAACACAGCCTGATCCCGAACCGAACGAGTCCTTTTCCACGCACGACATTAGCATCAATCACGTCCCATCATCTCCCATCCTCTGTATCATCAGAATAAAAATCGTTCATCACGGAGCACTTCCGACACCTCCATCTCTCCACGCCGCTAATTTCACACTTAGGGTCATCCCATTTCTCAGCCTTTGATGGGCCACAGCAGGACGCCTCGGTGCGAGAGAGATGTTAAAGTGGAAGATTAGGATTTAAGGCATTTATCCAGGAGTGAATGACACGTCCGAGAGAAGAAGAGACGCATAACAATTGTGTTGGTTTTTGGAGGAAACAGGAGAAATTGTATAATTATTCTGGTTATTAATAATAAGAAATACCCATTTACGCACTGTTAGCATACTGGTAATTGAGCGTGATGTTTGTTTGAAGCAAGAAATGTAATTCAGAAAATGATTTGTAAAATAGTCTAATAAACAAAATTAACAAACAACTAATTAAAATGTAATTTGTGTAAATATTGGACTGTGTACATGGCACTGTTGGTGTTGGTTGGATCCTAGATACGATAAGATAAAATTGGCATAAATAATGTAGATTGATAGATGAATACTTAATTGATTCTCGTTGGAGAAATTCAGGTGTCCAGTAGCAGCAAAAATAAAAAATAAAATTGATAATTCTATAAGGTAACAATAGTAATAATCAGTCCTTCAGGTCACAGCAGCAGAGGTGGAGTAGCCTCTGGGTGGAGCAGGACAGGTCACAGCAGCAGAGGTGGAGTAGCCTCTGGGTGGAGCAGGACGGGTCACAGCAGCAGAGGTGGAGTAGCCTCTGGGTGGAGCAGGACGGGTCATAAGGTGCAGTACCCGCTTGGTTCGGACCATTTTCTCTGCTCTAGTCCAAAGTAAAAAGCTCAAAGCTTCATTAGCATTTCTCAAAAAGTTAGCATTCCTCCAGTGGATTTTCTCCTGATCTTCTTGGTTCGGACCATAAATCCTCTCTGCTCTGGTCTGGACCAGTGTAAAACCATGAATCCTCTCTGCTCTGGTCTGGACCAGTGTAAAACCATGAACACTGTACTGCAGCAACATCTCAGCTAGAAAAAAAGTAATGAAAATAAAAATTCTAAAGCACAAAACAACAACTGTTCCAGAGCTACTTAGGACTTTCAGCCGTTCTCCAGCTCATTCAAAAGTAAAATGTGGCATATAATGTGAATAAATATGTACATTATCAATGATGAAGGTTGCGTTCTTGTAGAATTTGATTTTAGTCCGAGGTCAGGTGCCACTATTATTAGCTACTGTGTCTGTGAGTCTCCTCCCCCTTCTCTGTGGAGTACGACAGTGGCTCTTATTGTTGACTGTTAAAACTATTGCTAAAATTTGAAATTGTTAAAGTATGTTCTTATTGTTGAAATGAGAAATTAAACATTTTACATTTCAGTTGTATTAGTTTTATCAATTATCCAGGGGCACAATGCAGTATTTGTATCGGTGTTTGGTGTCGGAGAGTACTCAAACTAAGGTACTTGTATCGGTTTGAAAAGAGTGTTATTGTGCCCAACCCAACACTGGTGGTGATGTCACATGAACACAAAAAAAAGCCTGCTTCACACGAGACGATTTTAAAATTGTCGGCCGATTTTCCTAACCTGAGAGACCCCACACCAGTGGGGGCGGGTCCCAGCTCAAAAGTGGCCAAAATGACGTGCGCTGACATGCTGCAATACCACCCCGGGCCTGTGGGGGTGGACCCGGAAGTAGAATTAGCCAATGCTAACATATAGCATTAGCAGACCTCTCAAAAACGTCTTTACAGGATGGACCAAAAGTTGGCTCTTGGCCCAAAGCTCCGTTCCACATGTGTGTCAATGCTGAGGAACGGAGTCACTCTAGTTTACTTGCTGTGAATTTTTGAAGTCTCTCGTTCAAATGAATGGAGTTGCGCCGGCTGACGCATGCACAGATGCATTTTTTCGCAGTGGCGATAGTTTATTTTTAACAGAGAAAAAGTGTTATCAAAGGAAAAGGCGGCGATCAAAGAAGTGGAGACAACGCGGGCTCGGACTCTATATATTTATGCCAGTGACTGTTATAATTTTTTTACGGTGTTTCCTCGCCGCCTCGTCACCTCGTCTTCTGATTGGCTACACGCCGCAGTCATGGCAACGCGCCCGTCTGTCCCCGACACCACACACAAAGAGAAATCAGGCCAAAACAATCCAACACGCTGGATATCCTGATTGGAGATCGGAGCAGTCCCGAAGACCTTCCGAGCGACGCAGTCTTAACCACACATGCAAAATACATCAGATTTTGTTTACGAAAATCGGAGCGTTCTTAAGATTGTCCTTAGGGGTAAACCGGGGCTTAAATCTGCCTAATTATCCTACCATGTGAACCAGGCTTTTGTGTTTTATCGTTCACAGCAGAAGCACTCCTCTTAGAGATCAAAGGATTTCAATCAGTGATGTAACGCGGCCCACACACCGTTGATTGTACTACAGTATGTTCAAGATAGTGTTTGCGGTTGCCGCGGCGACTGCATGATTCATTACCGTGGCCCTTCGCTGGAGGAAGCGCTCCCTCATTTGCATGACGAGTCGCCAGCTTGCGAGAATGTGATGGAAAATCTATTATGCTTACACTCCAGGTATCAAGCCACAAACAAATCAATTAAAGCATAAGAGGACGTTGAAGGCACTTAG